AAACCCTAGTTTGATTTAAATCCTCTACTTGCTTTGAAACGGATTTAGTTACAGAAAGATTTGCTTTTAAGAGGAAGCTTGGTTGGAAACTTGAAAATTGTAGAATGTAATTTATAAATTCAAGATTTTAGCTCGAAAATACGATTGCGGCATGTTTAAAAATATATTTACATACCATCTATTGGAACTCAGTGTAAACCACAGGATGGTAAAAACTGGGCGTTTTTCCCCTGTGCACAAATGCATTTAAGTTGAGCGTACGAACACGAACAAAGTAAGGACGTGTTAAGGAGCTGAGCTGAAATTCAGTTCACTTTCACTTTGGGGCTTATGCCGGAAAACCTCTCGCCCGCCCGCCCCCTTTTCCGAGAGCCATTCAATCAATAAAAAGGGAAATCTCCGCCCGGCATGGCATAGTTTTTCATGCCAGCTGCGAATGCACGATGAAATCAAAAAGGCTTTAACAATTCTTTTGGTCTTATGCGCGTACCATATTATGTAATTGTAGGGCTCACACACACACACACACACGAATATATATAAAAACACACACACACACACACACGCGGTTACAGAGAGTCCTGTGTGAGTTGTGTGCTTGTGTGTGTGTGGGAGAAGCACTTCATTTCTTGGCATTTTCTTTTGGCATTTCGCATAAAGAGAGAGACGAAGAGACGCACACACATGGTCTTCTAGGTTTTTATTATTATTGCTGTCACACATACACTCGCAGGCGGGGAGAGAGTCCTTTACACGGATACAGTCACACTCACATTCGCACTCACTAGCAAAGATGTCGTCTGCTTGCCATTGTCCTTCCTCATAGTCGGCATCTTTGGCATTTTTCTTCTTCAGCTCTCTCCGTGTCTCTTTCTCAACGCTTTCTCCACTCTCTCCCCCTTTTCATCTTCTTCTTCCTTCAAGCATCCTGTAAGCGCGCGAGTGTGTGTGTGTCTGTGTGTGCCTTACTTTTGCCGCTTCTGCTTCAGTGTTTATTTTGTGAACACACACATTTCGAATGTGACTGGCCGAGTGTCATTTTATTCTCTCTTTCTCCCCCCCTTTTATTTCATCCAGTCTCTCTTTCTCCGCCTCCCCCTCCTCCTATTCTTATCCTTAATCCGCCAGGATTATGTGTGTGTGTGTGTGTGTGAGTGGCGAGTGTGCGAGTGCTTGTGTCATTGCCATTAATTAAACACGTTTATAGCCAGTCCAACAACAACAAAAAAAAGGAAAAGTGGCATAAAAATATAAATAAAGTGGGCTGAGAATAACAAAAATGCAAAAAAAAGAAAAAAAAAGGAAACAGGAAACAGGACCAAAAATAAAAGACCGGCAGGCGGGTGGCCACTTTGCACATTAAATTATCGATTATGACATTCATTCACAGTTCCGAACGAAAATAGCATCAACAGCAAAATCAGCTGCCAATCTGGCTAAAAAGGTTCCAAAGAGCCCAGCCCTCCCGTCGGGCCATCAAAGTCGCCAAACGACCAGCGGCGAGCAAACAAACAAGCCAGCATTTTCGGGCGGGCATACACGGCGTATGGGCAATGTCAGTGGGACACTGCCGTCAATGGGGATTCCCCACGTCCGCTGGTGTGTAAAGTACTGGTCAAGATAATAGCAACAATCAAGCTTTGATCCCCAATGCTCTAAAAATTATGGCGGATGCTACAGAAATCTTTACAATTCTGTTAACACCTGTATAGGTGTCTAAAAGTATGCAATGTGTAAAATACTGGTCAAGATAATAGCAGCAGCCAGGCTTTGATCCCCAATTTTCCAAAAATGTTGGAGTATGCTACAGAAATCATTAGAATTCAGTTAACACTTATACAGGTGTCCAAAAGTATGCAATGTGTAAAGTTCTGGTCAAGATAATAGCAACAGCCAAGCTTCGATCCCCAATGCTCTAAAAATTATGGACGATGCTACAGAAATCATTAGAATTCTGTCTAAAAGTATGCATTGTGTAAAATACTGGTCAACATAATAGCAACTACCAAGCTCTAAAAATTATGGAGAATGCTACATAAATCAGTAGAATTCTGTTAACACTTTTAGAGGTGTCTAAAAGTATGCAATGTGTAAAATACTGGTCAAGATAATAGCTACGACAAAACTTTAGTCCTCTATTCTTTAAAAAGTTTTTAGGATGCTACAGAAATCCTTAGAATTTGGTAATCACTTACAGAAGTGTCTAAAAGTATGCAATATGTAAAAAACCTGTCCAAGATAATAGCAACATCCAAGCTTTAATCCCCAATTCTCTAAAAATTATGGAGGATGCTACAGAAATCATTAACATTCTGTTAACACTTATAGAGGTGTCCAAAAGTATGCAGTAAAAAAATAACGTCGTTTTTCTAGCAAGTCTGTTGGGTTTCAGTTAGCCACGTATTTGTTATTTTTATTTTACCACACTAAAGAAAGTAAATATAAAGTCCTTCCAAATATTTCAAACCTTAAGAAGTGATTTCAAACTCATTGCGATTTTTCCCCAAAACTTCCCAAAAGTTAAATATCTTTTTAAAAATGCTAGACATCAACTTAAATGGGATGTGAAATATTCTTTTAAGAAATTACTTTATTATTATTTATTTGTTATTAAAAAGTCAAAACTTTCTTTCATGACAGTGATTTATTATGGCACAGTAGCCAATAAATTACTTCTGTATTCTTTCGTGTTTTCAGAAAGTGATTTATAAGACTTTATAATATTGTGCTGATATATATATATATATACGTTAAAGAACGTATGATATTTTGAAATGCGTTCTTTAACGTCTTAACGTCAAAATAATTTTAAAATGCAAAGGGATTTTTACACCATTTATTTTGTATGTCAAAAAATTATTTGCTTACTTAAAATAGATTTGCAAGTTATAATTATTATTTTCAGTAAAGAATTTTAATGGTTATGTTTTTTTAAATATTTGTTCATGATATTTAATTAAGATATTAAATTTATTAATTATTTATATTATATAGCTACATTAAAAATAACTGAAAAGTCTAACTACAGAAAAGTACCAATTCTAAAAAAGTGTCAATTTCAAAATGCTTTATTTTGAAAATAAAAAGAAAAATTCCGTCCTATTATTCTGACCACCGGTGTACTTTCCCCATCCACATGTTCCGATGTGTTTGCTGCTGGGACAGGCAAATTTATATTCGACAAGCGACAAATGGCAAAATGTTGGGGGCAACAAAGCGCACTTTGCATTCCGGCCATTTTGCAACGCCGAATTTTACAGCGATGTGGCAATTAAATTAAACTCGGTTTCGTATATCCATTAATTAAAATGCAACCAACATGATGCTGCCGAATGTCATTTAATTGGTAACTCAAACTCTGCTGATAATTTTTGAATTTTCTTTGACCCAATTGCTAATTACAATTTTAAAAGACTCAAAAATATCGAATGATCTACCGCGAAAAGTTTTTAATTGGAAACTCGAGGACCTACAAGGCCAATTTTTGGTCATGGTAAATCATTGAATTGCATTTCGAAATAATGAGCAATTATGTGGAATTAAAAACCAAAATTGACGTTAATCCAGGCTAAAAACATTTGAACCAATAATTATTTATGCTGTGTCGATAATTATAGATGCAAAGAGGTTATTAAGAATAATAAATATAATATAATAAATAATAATATGAATAAATAATAAATAATAATATGAAATAAGTAACTAAATTTAGAATTAGAATTATTCAAATATTTAAAACTTTAGAAATGATTTGTATAGATTGTAGTATACAAATTTTTAATAATTATTTATGCTAATTTCGATAATTATAAACACAAAGAGGTTATTAAGTATAAATGAATATATGAAAGTATTTCAAGGACAGATTAAATGTAATTTAATATCAATAATTAAATAGTTAACGAAGTTTACAAATTAATCAAATAAATCTAATTCCAAAAATTGTTTATCTATGTTATACTATCTATTTGTTAGTTTCATAAACTTAGTTTAACCTTTTATTCTTTTGAAAGTATATATGATATGTCAGTCAGGCGGGAATCCCACATCAAATGGAAAAGTTGCAAATCTAAAATGTATGCCTATCCAAATACAACAATGGCACACATGAGGGCCCCGAAATACGCAAAATTATTGCCCGCATTCCGACACAACACCCATAATCACTCAATTTTCAAGCCAACCCCTCATCAAATTCCCAAATCCCCAGCCCCTCCGGCAGCCGAAATTCCCGACTTTCGAAAATTCCCATACAAAAAAAAAATATCATTAGGGGCCTTCGCAGAGCAAAAAGGGAAAACTTTATTAATAATGAAGCTAATAGAGTTTTGAGGACCACCCCCGAAAAAAAAAAAATAAATAAAATAAGCAAAGAAATTACAGCCAAACAGGCAGGAAAAAAAAAGAGGAGGAAAAGGAAAATTTGGTCAGTGGCTCAAGGAGCTGTAAAAATAACAAGGCGCAGACAAGAGGCGGCAGTGGCAAAAGGCCTAAAAATCGAGGGTGGCACAAGGACTGTCACACAGACAGCACACTAGCAGACACACGCACACATGCACACACTGCCACACACACACACACACACACACACACACCAAAAGCGATTGAGTAATTTTTTTGCCCCCTCAGTCACACACAACTTCATTAGACGAATTCGTAGATGCTTTGGGGTTTCTGGCGGGGATTGGCATTGCTATCCAACTTAGGATGTCGTGTTATATAAATAAAAATGCTAAAATGCGGCCAAGTAACCGCTGGCAATTAAATGTTGGCATTAGTTTTCGGTAATCTGTCAACTAATTGGCACAAAACCACACACACTCAGACACCCAGGAAAGCAGGACAGTTGCCTTGACTTTGGGTCACAAATTGGATTAGAAGAAGACTGATAAATAATACCCACTTAACGCAAGGAAAACAGCAAAAGCTATCCCTAAAAAAAATATTTAAAAAAAATCATATATATATATAATATTTGAAATACATTTTTGTTTAGTTACATCTGGTTTTTGGTCACATTTCACGCACATTTGCAGCAGTCCTTCATCCTTGTTGTGGGTTGTAATTCCTATGTCGATGATGCTGTTGTTTTTGTTATTGTAAGCTTTTATATTTTTGATGTTGTTCTATTTGCACACTCGTGTTCAAACCGCACAGTAACAAAAATTATCAAAAAAAAGAACTTAACATTTGCACTTCCAATTCGTATCCCTCTCTATATTATTTATAATTTTGGCTCAGGCACATTTATATTATAATATTTTCTTCAGCTTAGCTGGTTGGGTTCCGGTTTTTTTGCTCTTCTATTTTCCTCTTTTTTTTTGGCACTCTGCTTGCTACATTTGTATTATTTTTCATTTGCTGTTGGCCTAATGTTGCAATGTTGAAATTAGGAACAAGAACGAGAAAAAAAATTTGGATCTTCTGGCACACTGACACTGGAATAATCCTTCAGTTCCGCTGGGTACACAGAGTTTGTTGTTGTTGTTGTGTGGATACGGTTCGGTTTTTTTGGATAGTTGGAATTTTTGGCTGGCTGACTGTGGCTCGACTGAAGAGGACTGAAGACCACTCAGAGGGCGATGATGATGGGAGGCGAGCGCACGCTGGCTCCGCACCACATGACCGCACTACACGCTGACAGTTTGGCACTGAGCAGGAGCTGGAGCAGGACCACGACCAGGAGCTAGCTTATCAGCCGAGCCGAGAGCCCGAATCCTCGTATCCCCGACAGCCCGACAGCCCGAAAGGACGAAGGCCCGAAGGCCCGAATGCCCCGAAGAACCGAGAGTCCTTCCTTCTCTGCGCGAGTGTGTTGGTGGCGGTGGCGTTGGATGAGGAGGAGGAGGAGGTCCTGGGGAGGATATGCGCGACTGTTACAAAAAAAAATTTGTAGCCAAGCCCAAAGCCAGCCCTGTCGCCTCCGCATCGCCACCTCTCACCCCCCAAAACCTGCCCCCCCGCACTCACACGTTCATTGAGGAAAGCCCAGCATCAGCAGAGCGGCAGGAGCGGCGACGAGCGGCGGCAGAGCTGCGGCAGCAGCAGCAGCATCAGGACTCCAGGCGAAGCGAAACCCAACGAAGTGAACCGAGCCGAACCCAATTCGAGCCGAGAGCGGGTTCCCCACTCCGCCGGCGGAACAGCCCGTTGGGAAATGGAGCAATAATATCCGGGGGAATTTCAAGGGCCAAGGATTAGTCGAATTTTATAAGCAAATTATACCTGCTATTTGAAACTAAAGGGATTAATACGATTACTTAATAAAGTACATCACTTAATATTTATATATTTTATTATATTTTTTTAGTATTTATTATTTAACACTACAAATTGAAGACAATTTATCAAGGATAAGTTAAAAAAAAAAAATATTAGTCATTAGCAATAATATTCGGGGGAATTTCGGGAGCCCAGGATTAGTCGAAATTTATAAGCAAATTATCCCTGATATTTAAAACTAGGTGGAATTTATATTAGTTAATAAAATACATCTACTCATATATATTTCAAAGATTTTATTGTTTTATTTAGTTAATATTCCAAATTTAAATAAAAAAAAAAATTTGTCATAATACCCGGGCGACTTTCGGTAGCCAAGGATTTGTCCAATTTTATAAGCAACTTATCCAAAGGTTCCCTGCTATTTAAAACTAAAAATTGGCATATTAATTAATAAAATGCTTAAATCAGCTTTTTATTTGAAAAATTTTCTTAGCACTTATTAGGTAATACTTAAAACAATTGATTGAAGAAAAATTGAAATCATCTTTATTATTTCTTTGTTAAGTGTAACAAGCCATTGGGAAATGAATATATAATTTGGAATACAAACATAAGCAGGATCGGGTATGAAAATAATAATATATAACGCATAAGTTATTCTAACCAAATAGTACGTTCTTAAAGATACAAAAAATGCAGTAAAAATCATACCTATTCGGAATCGGTGTCCATGCATTAAATATGTAAGTTTTCATTTTGTCATTTTATGAACCGAAATTTGGCAATACAATAAAACAGGCAGGATGTTTTCACAACTATCCTTTTTCCTCATGTTATGCTTACACCATTTCAATGCCCAATCATGCAATAATATTATTTTTGATTGAATAAACATTGAAAGTTGAAATACTAAAATGTTAAGCATACATAAATGTGTACCTTTTATATTAAATATTCTGCCAAATCGATTTCGATTCTAGTCAATTTAAGATTATTCAGTGCTATCAAATTTATTTTATGAGTATTTATTAAAAAAGAAATTATTAGACAAAAGAAAAGCAAATTCGTTCGGAATTGAACCATACGATAATACAAATTCCAACCGTCTTTAGTGGGTAGAAATTTGATGAGATGTCACCCCCACTTTTCTGTAAATCAATGTAGGTATACTAAAAATATATTTACCGGGGAAAATTCCTCTCGAAATAGTTTTATGGAAAGTGGTTGCAAAATGTCAGGTCCTCTGAGACTCGCAGCATTCCCCTCCATTTTCGCCCACCTGCATACATTAAAGTTGCAGGCGGCTCCCAGCTCCATTTGGCTGATGAAACTTGTCCGGATTTCCAATTAAGACAATAAGAGAATCATATCCGAGGACGGCAAAGAAAAACTGAAGTGGTCGCTGGTGGAATTGAATTGAATAAAGATAAAAAAATATTTGTCTGCCGCGGGCGATGCGCATTTCCCAGCGGGGACAAAGCCAACAGAAGACCCCAAAGCTCCACCAAGAACAACAGCGGCAGCGCCAGAGGTAGAAGCAGAAACGGTGCACTGAGAAAAATACACGTTCCTAGTTATTTTAAATATTTTTTTCAATTTTAGATCCTTACTAATTTTTGTTCAGTTCTTAAGATTGTAACGACAGTCTTAATTGATATTATGGTAAGGAAAGTTTGCACTGAACAAAAATTCAATCACTATTGTTTTAATTACTTCTGTCATAAGTCTTAAAACATAAAAAAACCAATTTGTATTACTTTTTTTAGAATTGAAAGAAAAAGTTTTCTTATTGTTTAAATCAATTTATTTATGTTTAGTATATCCTTGCGTTTTGCCATACATTAACTAACTATTGACTATGACTATCTAACTATTAACTTAACAACATTTTTTTTAAAAAAAAATTAAAGTAAAGTAGTGAAGTAAGAACATGAATTATACAAAAATCATAGGGTCTTCATAAATATTTATTTCGATAAGCAATTGGCAACATAGCAACTTTAAATGATCACGAAAATAGTATATTATATATATTACTATATACTTCCATAATTAAAACTTTCAACTATATTTGATTTAATTTTGTCACCAGATCAAACTTTTATAACTCGCATTGCTGTATAAAACGAGCCTTGATACAATTTATTTTAATAAGCAGTTAAAAACTTGGTTTCTAAAGATTATTATTATTATCTCCCATTTACTAGAAGATTGCCATATCTCAAAAAATAGTATTTCAAAATAAACGCATTTAAAGTTTTAAAATAGGATAAAAATATTTTGACAACATAGAGCATAATGTAATGGTTACAAAAAATAAAATTTCTCAATCTTTAATTAAAAAATTGTGATTCTCAACACATAGTAAAAATTATGTATAATAACTATCAATATATAATTAACATTTTTTAATTATTATTTTTTTTAATTTTTTAAAAACTTCTATTTTTTCTCAGTGCTGGGCCGAAGGAAGCGCCAAGTGCCATGTGCGGCGCTTTGTGTCGGCGTCTGTATGAGTGCGGCCTTGCGGTGTCCCTGTGTGTGTGTGTGTGTGTGTGTGTGAGGGGGTCCTGTGAGCTGTGGGGGCAGGGGCGGGGAAGGGGGTTAAGGACGAGAGGCAGCAGCAGCTAGAACCACGACGAGAGCACAAACAGAAACGGCACAAACAGCAAACGTGATGAGCGCATGTGTTTTATCTTCAATCTCAGCTGAAATCATCTCCCCAACCGCCCCGCCACCCCATCAAAAAAATAAGAAGGAAAACCCCGTCCGAAAAGCAGGCAGCCCCTTGGCCCACGCCCCTGTCGCATTATGAAGGGCAATAGGTTGTGTGCGACTTTGTGGACTCGGGTCGCCATCGGTTTCGGGATAAAGTTCGGGTTCTCGGGTCGACAAACGCCTTCGGCTGTGACTTAGCTCTGACCAAGTCACTAAGCCAGTCAACCCCACTATCTGAACAGAACCCCCTGAAACCCCTCCTGGCCGACACCCCACGCCCATGGAGCGTTTTCAGCGCTTTGTAACATCAAGAAATTTGTACTTCCGCCAGTGGAAGATTTTAATTAAAAGCAGCAGGAAATGTGACCCAAATAATACTTCCGTATAGTGTGAAAAATTGGCCCAACTGGGCAAATGCTATTGCCATTTACTCCTGCCCGTCCGGACACCTCCCGGAATCTGGGGATTCCCCATCGCCCATCCCACCCACAGTGGCTGTCTAATTTGTCGTAGGACCGCCTGCGGGGCCATCGTTTAGCAGTCGGCGGGCGGGGAAAATATAATTTAAGTGATTCCTAAGCTGGCGACTGACAAGCGAGCGGAAAGCGTTTATCACTCGAGTGGAAAATGACACAGGAAAAATGTTTGCATGTTTCACAAGTAAAGGATTGAGATACATAGGCTGCTTTTTCAAAGTGTATTACTTTTTAAGGACTTCAAAAATCAAAAACATATATTTATAGGTCTACAAGGGATTGGAAAAAATACATCAAAATATTTAAATGTCACAAGGAAAATTTTTAAATTATTTTCAAAAATTATGATTACTTGACCATCAGAAAAAATGACCTTTTAAAAATATTTTTGACCAACAGTACTCCAAAAATAAATAAAAGATAAATTAGTTATCATGTCTGAACATACCTAAATATTAGAAATAATTTAAAAGCTGTTTTTATGTGTTGAGAACTTAGTACTCTTATAAATGATCTTAATTTTATAACCTACAGAAGGCCTTTAAAATTTCAGCATTAAATTATACAAAAATATTTAATACATTTTCTTCAAAATCTCGAAATCTTACGAAACTAGATTTTCCAAAACTATGCATTTTTACTTTCAAAATGGGATTAAAATTAGAACAAATTATATTTAAATTGTAAACATCCATACATAATACCACTAATAAAACGAGATTATATAGTAATTCTAAGCCTAAGTTAAACGCTAATTAGCCAGGTATTTACAAAATTATTTATATTAATATAAACCATTTGTCAAATTTTTAATCATACTTTTCTTAGATCTAAGTAAAAGACTTAAAGTAAAATATATAGAAGTCAATTTCTGTAGCAAGTTCTGTAGATCCATGATAAGAGAAAAACTCTACCACTTAAAGAAGTCCATTGTAGGGAAATAACTTAGGCAAATTTGGCTTCGATGTGACCTCGAGGATCAGCATCTACTTGAGTGCATTTCGCAGTGCATTGGGGGCGTACCTCCGCCATTTATAACCGGGATGAAGTTCTGACTTTTCGGCTGGAAAGTCAGCTGCATTACGTGGCACTACTTGGTTATTCTTGGCGCGACATAAAATCAATATGGTTACCTTGTCACAGCGTGTCCTTTGACTTCGCTCCGTGAGCTCTTGGCACGCAAGCAGCGTGAAAATGCAATCAATAGCAAATCGTTGTCAGCAATTAGCGTCCGGCCCAAGCCCTGAAAACCCTGAAACCTGAAACCCGATCCCGCCCAGAAGCCCACGCCCATTTCCACGCCAGGTGGATGGGTTATTGGTTAGGAGGTCAGGAGGTTGGGTGGCATGGAATGGGATGGGATGGTGGTTATCCAGCTGCAACACGTGAGTGATGCAGGCTTTCGACTGAAGTGTGCCAAAAAGGATTTGCCACTAACGATGCATCTACATCTGCATCTGCAGCACTCTCGAGCATATTTGCTCATCATTCTCGCTTTTTACAGCTCTGACCCCCCCCCCCCCCCTCGATTCCACGGTTCTATTCATAGACTGCTCTGCGGCTCTCTCGATTGCCAGCAAAATGGCAAACAAATCGTTGCAAATATTCCCTCAACGTGGCGTATGCGCAATTTTTGCCCAAAAGTATGGGGGCGTCACATATACACTGAGAAAAAATAGATAAAAATAAGTCTCTGCATATTACATTTAAAATTTCCTATACAAAAACACAATATTCAATACAAAACAAAATAAGTTGCATGATTTACTCTGCAAATATTTAAATAAATGTAGAAAATAAATATCTTAAATTAAAATATTTTACCTCATAAAAACAATAATCTCATAACAAATACAAATTTTAAAATCTTTAAATTAACTATAATTGTTAAATTAAACGTTTACATATTTAAAGTAAATAAAAGCTGCAATGGAAGAAAAAAATGTTAATTCTAAAATCATTAAATAAGCTATATTTGTTAATTTAATATTTTTGTATTTAAAGCAAATAAAAATCGCGATGGATAAAAAACATGGCAAAAAATATTTAAATTTAATATGCAATCCTTGGATTTACTACTTTTTTTTATCGGTGTATACATATGCATATAGGATATATTTATATATATATCTGTCTAGCACAATCCGTTGATGGCTGTGTGCGGGTTGTTGATTTAATTCAACATTTACCAAATGAAATTTTCATCTTTCGGGTGACAAACGTCTCGGAGACAGGCCATCACACTTATGGGAATTCAAAATCCATACCCAACTCAATCCGAGATGGGGTTACAGAGTGCGTGGGCGTACTTCCTCTTCGCTTGACGTCGATGAAGTGATTATTTCCGTACATACTTTGGCCATCTTAAGTCTTCTTAATTACAAGCCCACGTAATTTTATCTCCTTTACAGTCTATTTTCCTGTTCAATACTTTCTAAAGAGCAAAGGTCCTTTGTTGTTCATTATGGCATTGTATTATTCCTTTTAAGTTAAGGACAAATCATTGGTAATTCCAAGTCAATCAAGCCTAAATTAATATCTTATTTGCACGACTAATGTTCATTAGCAAATGAATGACTTCCAGGAATTTGCAAGGTATGCAGCTGCAAACAAAGGAATTTCATTTGGGTTAATTACAGCTCAATACAATAGTTGAGATTTAAGGCCAATTGTGGAAGTAAGGCTTTAACCAATTGTATTAAATGAATAATATTAGTAAATTGGTAATAGCGGCTTCATTAATTTTTCTTTTTGATATAAAAGGGTGCCCACAAAATGTACTATAAACTACCGAAAGTTAATCACCCACAATTCAGTACAAAACAATTCTTACTTTACATCTATAAGTATTTTATATTTATTTTGGAATTTATCATAAATTTTGCTTGAATTTCAAATACACATCCATAGATCGTCAATATCCATCTTCAATTTAGTTTTAAATAGGTCGTAACATAAATCTGACTTGCAAGCAAACAGAAACGAAAGAAATGTATCTAAAAATGTGAATACTTAAGTGAATCAATATTTTATATGCTGTCTTCATGTACATAGATAATATATAACAATTACGATTACAAAAAACACGACATTTCATGTGAGTGCGAAACAGAGACGGGGTGAAGTGGGAATCGGGAAGGGGGAATCCGGACAGGGGCGTGTAGTGTGGTGAAAGGGGGGCGGGGAACACAGCTTGGATGAAAAATGAATTTCGCTTTCTTGTTGTCGCCGGCCAAGGCGACAAGAGATAAAGTTCTATAATGTAAGCGTTAAATATATTATTTATATTATGTTTGTATATATATATATATAAGATCGTATATATGTATGTGTGTGTCGCGTGTGTGGGGAGTGGTTGGTATTCCTATATCGTTTTAATGACTTAAAGAACTAGAAAACATCATCATCATCAGCAGCAGCAGAGTCATCAGTGTCATCCCTTTCGTTTGGCTCATCTGGGGTAATTTCAGAATCCAAATATTTGAGGGCGCACACAATAATTTAGTCTAGATATTGTATTTGGAGGCATGTATATCGTACGATTAAGATGTCCTGTCTTCCCAATCCACTGCAGCTGTGTATCGAAGGCATCGGAGGCCGCTTTAGTTTTCATTTTTCCACTTTTCTTTTCTTTTTTTAGCTTTAGTTTTAGTTTAAGTTCTAAGTTCAGTTTCGCTCTGTTTATAAATATTGTTAATGCATTGTGTGTTTTTGTGTGTTATCATTACAGTAATTATTTGTAATAAAGACGACGGCATTCTAGGAATTGTTTATGCACAAAAGCAAATAGTTATTAGTTCCATGCTCCAATGCTTGTTTTAGTTTCATGATTTCTTTTTTTTGTTTTGCTTTTATTTTCCAAGCTATTTCAATGTTTATTAAATGTTCCTTCTCCATCTCCCTCTCTCTCTCTCTGGCGCGGCTACCATCTCTTTCTGTTCCAGTTTAGCAGGATGAGTGCTTGAGTTCGTGGTTGGTTGGTTGATTGATTGATTCTCCTTTTGATTTGATCAGATCCCCGGGAGGCCAGAGTGTCCTTAGTACCTGCTGTTGTTGAACTGCGAGTTGATGGCCGTGTTGACGGCCGAGGAGGCCGCCTCCTGGACATGCTGGTTGCGCAGAAACTCGGTGGTGAACTCCGCCTGGGCCTTGGCCATACTGGCCCCTGTGCTGCGGTAGATGGAGTGAATCTTGGTGATCATCAGCACATTGGCCACCGCCACCGTGGCAAAACAGAAGGACACCAGCAACAGCAGGATGCCGACGATGATGCCCGACGCAGAGCTATCAAACTGCCCAATGGCCGTGATAAAGCCGCAGTAGCCCATCTTGCTGAAGCCCACCGTCTGCACAATCGAGTACAGCGTTTGAAAGAAGTAGATGAAGAAGAAGACCATGAAGTTGAAGCTCGAGTCGTTGCGGAATGCCTTGTACGCTGGTCGGAACCTGAAGAGGAAGCAGGCGTCAGTTCAAAAGGATTCAATCCGAATGATAATAGATAAACTCACCAGCAAACATACGAGGCGGGCGAGAAGAGCATCGTGTAGAAGATGGCCAGGAATAAGGTTTCGAATTCGCCAGCATGGAACAGCAGAATTAGACCTCCGATCACGTTGGCCAACAACGTCATGGTGTAAACTGTTGGGAAATGGAGCAAGTATAAGAAATAGGCAAACATTTATACCATATTGGTTTAAACTACATACATATAGGGAAATCAAAGGAACTTTTCTTGTTATTCATACATTTGTAATAAAATATGTACAACTGGTTATTGAAGACTGTTTTGTTTGTATAGCTATAACTATTTCGAGTTTTTTGAAATTAAATAAGCAAGAGATTGTTTTGCTTGTACATCTACATTTTGCATCCTTTTAAATATAGTAAGTTACAGTTTGTTTTGTTTATACAAATACATTAAAATTGTAATACTATAGAAAAGGCTACCTTTCAATAGCTTTCTAAACATATTAAAATTTGTGTCTTTTGGCCATTTTGAATCCCTTCTTTATTCGCAGTTTCTGCGCAAAAGCACGCACACCTCCAAGACCATTAGCCACAGCTATATCTGATTAATCATGACACCGGTTAATGGGCGACACGCGATGACTAATCCCAGCCCACGGCCCGCTTATCAGCGTAACAATATAGAACATTGAGCCATAAAACACAAATACTCACAAATCCAAATGTAGTACAATCGCTTGACCAGTTTCTGGAACTCGGGTGGAATCTCCACCTCGAAGTCCTGGTAGAAGCACGGCTTCACACAGAAGTTGTCCGGCAGCGGTGGCCAGTTGTTCAGCTGCGGCACGTTGCCCTGCAGCTGCTGCTCCCGGCGGTCCAGCTCGGCGGCCTTGCGGTCCAGTTCTTCCTGCCGTCGCTGGATTTAATGAAAATTATACAATTATCAACTAATTTTAAAAGTTTTCTATTCATAGGTATATAGACGCTCTAACTAGCTCTTAAAATACTTATATTGAACCTAAACAAGACCTTGCTAATCCATAATGCAATCAATAATTATTTATCTGATTGCCTAATTAATAATTAAATGTACTTAAGAATTACATTAAAAGTCGCTGTGCTTGTGCAGTCTTCTTCTTTACATTCACTTAAAAAGTTTGCCCAAAAATGTATCATTTTTTAAAATTCATTTTGAATGATTAATAAAACAAAATACAGACATATCAGGAAAAAGAATTAATTTCTCAAAATTGTTTTCTTTGTTTGTTAAAAACATTGTTATTATTTAAATTATTAATATTTTCTGGCTTGGTATTAAATATTTGAGTTTTATTTTCTTATATTTTCTAAGAGCTGTTACTTTTAAGATTTTCAAGGGCTATTTACACAAGAACATAAAACGTAAAGGTAAACTGTTAAATCGTAGTACTAGGTCTTGCTTCTAGCGTATCTTGTGTTTTATGTAGGGCTGCTGAAGCCAAGTAAATCAAGAGAAACCGCAGTTCGTACAGTGGAGACTCGGCGCGGCAGCCTCTGGTCTAGTCTTGGCTAGATAAATGATCCAAGCGGATTTATCGTGTGCAGAGCGAGATAAGCCTGCTTATCTCTGGCTATTTTTATGGGCTATGAGATGTGATAATCCGGTAATCTGACCAGTGTTCACTGTACACATTTTAAGGGCAGTGAGATGGGATGAGGTGGCCAGTGTTTACCGTACAGACTGAATGACTGATATATGATGATGTGGATGTTAAACGGCGGCACTTCAAAGAGTGTCCACTGTACACAAGTGGGCGGTAATGCGAGCTGCCCGGCTAGCGGCCAAGTGGGTTACCTGCAGCTCCTCCGAGGTGATCTGTATGCTGGTGCTCGGCGCCGATGCGCCCAGGGAACTGGTCTGTGGGGGCGGAATGTTCTGCGACAGCGGCTGGACCACCGCCGCCGTGTTGGTCGAGTTGATCTGCAACTGCGGCTTGGCCTGCTCCTCGAACGGGTTGTAATCCTCCAGAGAGACCAGGGCGGCGCCGCCCCTGAAGGCCTGCTGTGCCTGCTGGATGGCGGGATCCTGCGGGGAAATCGGGGGGAAATCCCAATCAGAAACCAATTCACTCAACATATGTGACGAATGCACCCAACACACACACACACGCACCCTCTGGCATACGTATGTGTACGTGTGAGCTGGGTTTTTCGCTCCTCTCGCCGCTCTTCTATCGCCTTACCGCAAACGGATTGTCCAGGTTGGGCTCCCCGAAGGGATTCTCGTCGAGACCGGAGCCGGACATGGGGATTCTACTTTGGGTTCGGCTGTTCGATGACCAGGAAAACGCACTGATTCACACTTTACTTTTCGCTGTGTAGTGTATATTTTCCCTATGCTGCAGTGTGACCGCGCAATTATCGATCAATTATACCGTCCGGCGCAAAAAAAAAATACTTAAAAATGGTATTTTACCTTTCAAAAATACCAAAAATATTTTAAACGGCCAAGCTGAAAATGAAAATAAAATGTTTGGGGTATTGACTTACCTGTTCTGAAGTCATTCTTTAAAAAAAAATCCTTTATCAATTCCTTATAAAATCGCTCATCGAAAGAATCACTCTGTTAATTACTTGTTTTTTTTGGCAAATAATGAACTTTCTGGCCCACTGTACATATGAAAAGTCTTTGAATAAAGTGTGCTGTGAGTTGTGAGTTTACGTGTCTAGCGCAAAGTGTGACTTATTCAGCCTTACTCTTTGAACTCCTCAGCCGAGAACGGTCGTGCGCTCTAACAAAAATGCTGGTGAGTTTGCTTTATACAATTTATAAAAAAGTATACAAAAATATTGTTTACTTTAGAAACTCCACTTTCCCGTTTCCCGATGGGCATTGAAGAAATGGTCTCTTATATAGATACATATGTATGTTCAGAGAGCTTGAATTTTTTTAATTTTGGTACTTAATCGGTACCTTTTTTTTCATTTACAGTTGAATTTTGGCACAAATTGCGTAGAATTGTGTGTGAATTATTTTAAAGTATACACAATGTGTATATTGCTCAATAATTCATACAGAATTCTATGCAATTTTGGGCAAAAATCCAATAGTAAACGGAAAAAAGGTAGTGGGTCAGGTTACCCTTGTGCATATTTAATAAGTTCCAAGCTCTCGGAATATATGTTTGTGTATATTAAACGATTTTGACCAAGAGCTTTTAAGGTAAGAGTAGATAAATACACATTTCATCATTATCTCTGAATTAAATTTAAACGATTCAACAGTTAAAGGAATACCCCAAGTATATAAAACATATGTAAACGCCCCCCATTGTTCCGCAGCGAACTGGTTCCGCTGAACCGGTTCGCCGGTGCCGCCATTCCGCAATTGAAATCTAGTGTTTTGGGTTGCTACTCGACTCATTTACCGCTGCCCGCGTCTCCAATTCGGTTGTGTGCCATTCTGTCTGCTCCGCGTCCGCGTCCAAGTCCGCAACCAATCCTCGCAAGAATGTCGAAGCCCAGCTACAAAGTCGGTGAGTCGGGCTATAAATATACATATGCACACACTCCGGAACGAATCTCCGGCCGGCAACAGGCGACATGTGCTGCCGACTGGGATCCATGAGCACATGTTTCTGAGGTTAAACGAGAGTCCAAACCCAAAACGGAGGGAGCACGTTGTTGCCGGGCCGATGAGAATAAAAAAGTAACAGCCGAAAGGTGTATGTATAAATCAACAGCACCCGCTTATCTGACCCTATCTCCCTTATTTTCCACCCGACAGCCGATATCAGTCTGGCGGAATGGGGACGCAAGGCGATCATCATCGCGGAGAACGAGATGCCCGGCCTTATGGCCTGCCGGAAGAAGTACGGCCCCTCCAAGATCCTCAAGGGCGCCCGCATCACCGGCTGCCTGCACATGACCGTCCAGACGGCCGTCCTCATCGAGACCCTCGTCGAACTGGGCGCTCAGGTGGGTTTAGTTCCGGGCCTCTACGATTATCGCAGACCCTAACATTCAAGAAATAAGCCTAAAAGTATGCCCAAATAATAGTTAATATTACTCCTTGGTGAACTTCTCAATTGGTTTAGTTCCTCTATTTCCCAGAGGATAAACATTAATATATTGAATTCCATTTAAAAAAAATTTGTAGAACAAAACAAGGTATAATATAAGAAAGGATATATAATATTTTGTCTAAACTCTACCATTCTATATACATACTTCTACTTCCTACTTCTTGGTAAACTCCTAAATTTTGTTAGTTCAAAGTAAATATATTAAGTATACCCAGAAACAAGGTCCATTTTAGGATAAGATATACATACATATATAGATTATATTATATATATTGTCTAAATTCTAATATTCTACTTTTTATGCAAGATTGGTTGATATTTAGGTACCTAAATTGTCCAAGGGCTGACCCCTTATCTTTTGTTTACGCACCAATTTGAATAACAAAACTTTCGTTTAACGGGGGGCAAGTTCAAGGCGCCCAAGATAAGACCACCAGATTGTTATTTCCTCTGACACAGCACGTTTTGTTTTTGATCCCCACACATGGCAACTATTTTCGAACTATAGGCTATAACGTATTACATTCTTCACTTAGTTTCTGAAAAATACACGAAAGAGTAAATACAATTTTTAAATACACTATATTTAGCTTTGATATTTTTAAGTTAAGTGTTACAAATTTTATATAAAAACCTTAAAATTCAAGCCCACTCTTACTTAATGGACTTCATTCCCGTTCCCAGGTCCAATGGTCCAGCTGCAACATCTTCAGCACCCAGGATAACGCTGCGGCGGCCATCGCTGCCACCGGAGTGCCCGTGTACGCCTGGAAGGGCGAGACGGACGAGGAGTACCTGTGGTGCATCGAGCAGACCCTCGTCTTCCCCGACGGCCAGCCCCTGAACATGATCCTGGACGATGGCGGCGACCTGACCAACCTGGTGCACGAGAAGTTCCCCGAGTACCTGAAGAACATCAAGGGTCTCAGCGAGGAGACGACCACCGGCGTCCACAACCTGTACAAGATGTTCAAGGACGGTCGCCTGGGCATCCCCGCCATCAATGTCAACGATTCGGTGACCAAGAGCAAGTTCGACAACCTGTACGGCTGCCGGGAGTCGCTGATCGATGGCATCAAGCGGGCCACAGACGTGATGATCGCCGGCAAGGTGTGCTGCGTGGCCGGATACGGCGATGTGGGCAAGGGCTGCGCCCAGGCGCTGAAGGGATTCGGTGGTCGCGTGATCGTCACCGAGATCGATCCAATCAACGCCCTGCAGGCGGCGATGGAAGGCTATGAGGTGACCACCATGGAGGAGGCCAGCAAGGAGGCCTCGATCTTCGTGACCACCACCGGCTGCCGGGACATCATCACCAGCCAGCACCTGCTCCAGATGCCCGACGATGCCATCGTCTGCAACATTGGCCACTTCGACATCGAGATCGACGTGGACTGGCTGAATGCGAATGCCAAGGAGAAGGTGAACGTGAAGCCGCAGGTGGACAGGTACACGATGCAGAACGGCAAGCACATCATCCTGCTGGCCGAGGGTCGTCTGGTCAATCTGGGCTGTGCCCACGGCCATCCCAGCTTCGTGATGTCCAACTCCTTCACCAACCAGGTGCTCGCCCAGATCGAGCTGTGGACCAAGTCCGACCAGTACGCCGTCGGCGTGCACGTCCTGCCCAAGATCCTCGACGAGGAGGTGGCCAGTCTGCACCTGGAGAAACTGGGCGTGAAGCTCACCAAGCTGTCGGACAAGCAGGCCAGCTACCTGGGCGTCCCGCAGACCGGTCCCTTCAAGCCCGACCACTACCGGTACTGAGCACCTAAACCGGCAACCGGTTCCCCAACCGAATCTGATTCGGGCTTCGGTGCCGGAGACGACGAACCCCCACTAGTTATCTATTGTTTGCGCATTTCACTGTTCACCTAAGCTCCAATAAAGACCCATCTCACGTACTCTCAGCGAGAGAAACACCCAACACATGCTGCAATGTTTTCCTCTACACTCACAAGGTGGTGCATATTGTTCGGTGTATCAGTAACTCTATAAGGAAACGTAGTACTCATGGTAGTTCATGGGTCCAAGTTGAGGGTTACATTTCTAGTAAAGGTGTTAACAACTTTGAAGTTTTGTTGTTTCATTTGAACCAAGGGTTCTCAAGTTAAAGAGGGCTTAGGGAACACTGCGGTCGCAAAATATCACATCTTACCTGTGAAAATACAATGTTCTATAAAGATGTACACTGTAATGTAACAAGTACTGTAGAACAAAATTAGGTGTTTTAAAAATACAGTACATTCTGAAGTAGTGTAATATTCAAACCTATAAAATGCTGAATCACGGATCTTAAAAATTTGTTTGTAATTCGAAACATACGATGAGAAGAAAAAAAACAATCAGATTAGGCTTTTACAACATGAAAATAACAGTGACTCATCAAATTGAGATTTCTTTAAATAAAAAAGTTCAAGGGCAAGCAGAAATCTCTGGAATGAAATTCAAAATTAATCTTTGATTAGTGGTGTATAATTCCTGGTGATGCAAAGTCTACGAAATCTGCCAAAAACTCATTTGCGTAAGCAAATTCAGCATGATTATAACTTAATTATATGATTTTATAAGCGGAACATATGGCTATAACCTTATCTACAACTATGTAGTATCAGGGGCGTACAAAACAAGGGTTTACAAAAATTTCAAATTTGTAAAGAAATATATAACATAATTGTGAAAGCTACTTCATTTAACATATCTAATAGCCTATCAAGTTTTCCAGAATCCCCTTTTCAACTACCCCCTTAAAAAATACCGCCCATGCCTCTGGAGTGACTCAGCTATTTTATGATTCCTCTGGACCATCTGCTGTACTTATCGTTATCTCTCTTATCGCTCCACTACTGTAGTTGTAGGGTATTCGAGATCAGAGATGGCCGACCTTCACGCACAGATCCCGTTGATAGACAGCAGATCGCCCGTCTCGCTCTCTCGTAGGCTCTCTGCAGCGCAACAAGTGACCTATCGCCATCTCCCTTCCGCCTGCAATTGCAGCTGTAAACTGAAACTGAAACCGAGTAACTGCGATTTCACATTCATTCCATTTCAGTTCGGAGCACTTGTTGCGTGCAAAAACATTCCGGCTGGTAAATTACATCACCTCCAAACCAAACAAACGGCGGAGAATATGTCACCGCTCAGATGCAGATGGGTATTTCTGCTGCTCATCCTGCGACTGGGTTGCGCACCCACCTTCGGCTGGATGGCCCACTTTCGTCCGTCCGAGCTGAAGCTGCACATGGAGCTCGAAGATCGGGTGCAGCTCACCCTGGAGAATGTGGCACCCTCCACGCTTCAGCAGCCGGAGCGCTTTAAGTTCCGCGTGGAAAGTGCGCACACAGATCTGGCCAGTATTCCCGCAGAGAATGCCACCATTCCCCTTAGTGCCTTCAGCCCGGAGACACGCGATTGGACGGGCACGATCGTGGTCAATGCCCATTTCCTGGGCCAGACAAAGATCCAAGTGCGACTCTATGACAACCAGGGCAACACCAGTGAACTGCCCACCAATTGGAGCAACGACAGCACGCTGGATGTGAAGATCTTGCGTCCAAGACGTGTGGTGGATCTCGTCTTCGTGCACACCGTCATTGTGCTGATGACGCTGCTGTACATCAACTTCGGAGCCGCCCTGGATCTGGAGGTGCTGAGGGGTCTGATCACCCGGCCGCTCGGTCCGTGCATCGGATTCGTGATGCAGGTGGTGGGCATGCCGCTGCTGAGCTACGCACTGGGCATCTTTGTCTTCCCCAATGCACCGGCCATGCAGCTGGGGCTCTTCTTCACCGGAATCTCGCCCAGCGGCGGTGCATCGAACACCTGGTCCGCCGTGCTGGGCGGAAATATACACCTGTCGGTGCTAATGACCACCATCAGCAATGTGGCCGCCTTTGCCACCATGCCAATGTGGCTTTTCACACTCGGCCAGCTGGTCTTCGAGCGGGTGGGCACGGAGGTGCCCTACCAAAAGATAGCCACCTACTGCGGTGGGCTGATCTTTCCACTGCTGGTCGGGCTGCTCGTCCAGAGGCGACTGCCCCGAGTCGCCAGGGTGTTGGTCCGCCTGCTCAAGCCGATCTCCACCTGCCTCATCCTGTTCATCGTCGTCTTCGCCATCATCACCAACTATTACCTGTTCTATTTGTTTTCCTGGCAGGTAAGATATGCCTATCAACTTTGTTTAATACCAACATACTGTATTTCGAATCCTACTTATATGTATGGGGTTTTTTCTATATGCTCTATATTTAAAATTTTTATAATACATATATCAGGTTTTTTATCTTTAATATAATTTTATTATATCAATAGGGTTGTTAAATTATGGTAGCTATACAATTAGATACAAATTAGGTGGTTAGTCTTATTGATTATAAAAACAATGGAGTTTGTATTTCATGTTTATTTTTTACAATGGTTCTAATTATTATATTTTGCACTCTCTTAAGACCTCAGAAAATGTTAACCATTTATTCCAACCACTTTCCAAGAACACCAAAGAAGTTAAATTATAGGTATGCTAAAAAACAAGGTAAACCTGATTTGAGGAACCACTTTTTATAACCAACATCCATCAAATGGATGTACTTAGTTCAGTAAGGCCTTGAAAATTAAACGAAAGTCTTATTTATTAATGCATTTCTTAAATCTTTTTAAGAAGCAATAATTCAAGAGTATAAAACATATAAACTAATGAACTTTAATGTTCTCTTCCAGATTGTCGTAGCTGGCTTGGCTCTGCCTGGGCTGGGCTACATCTTCGCCTGGCTGGCGGCCAAGTTGCTCCACCAGAACGCTGCCGACGCCTTGACCATAGCCATTGAGACCGGCATCCAGAACACGGGTATCGCCATTTTTCTTCTCACAACCACGCTGGAATCTCCGGAGTCGGATCTCACCACGGTCGTGCCGGTTGCGGTGGCCGTGATGACGCCCTTCCCGCTGCTCGGGATCTATCTCTACAAACGAATCTGTGCACCCAAAACGAATGAAGCCTCCGCTTCCGAATCGGAGCGGATTGTTTAAGCTTTGAGATGCTAAACCTTACAAATAGTATCTTGAAGGCTATTGCATTACTTTCATTGTTATAGTATTTTTGTACATATTGGTTGTTTGATAACTTATACATCACTTAGTATGTAGACAAGTCCAGATTGCGATGCAGTGAAGCAACAAAAAATTAATTGTGGACCAACGAATGCAAAGCATTTCAATCGTATTATATTCCGGAATTTCATATACCTAAGTTTTGGATTGATCATTTTACAATAAAGTGATATTTTTACGAAATTTAATTTCATCTCCAAATTTATTTTTGGGTTTTGAAGCAACTTCATAGAATCCTGAAAATGCGTGCTTTAAATTTTTTTTAAAGTTATAAAAACCTTCCATTTAGTTTGAAAACTCTTAAACCAAGTTCTTTAGAGTATAAACAGGGGAATAAAAAAGAGTGTGGCAAACTTTTGAGCAAAGTTATGATTATGAATAAAGATACAAAATACTTCAATGTACAATGAATATCAAGCGCATTAATATCCGACTTTCAAGCAGATATTTCAACAAATGTTCTAGTCTTAGCAAAAGAGTATGTCCATCGAGGATCATTGGGTGGCCATGGTGTAAGCCAGAAGCGCTGCCTCATCCAGAGTCACCACTTCGGTGGCCAGTGACTGGAGGATCTTCAGCAGACCGAAGATGGTATGCGCGCCGAGATTCAGTTGTCGGAATTCGTACAGTATGCGCATGTAGTTCACCGTGCCCGTACTCAAGTCCACGCCATTCAACATATTGGGCAGCAGGTTATAGTAATTGATCACGCAGAAAGCTCGCTGCAGATCCGGTCCACTGACGGTGGTCACATAGCTCGGATCTAGTCGCTTTCGGCTGAGGAACTCCCGCAGAGGCAGGCACAACTCGCGTGTCGAGTCCTCCATTTCCTGTTTGAAGAGCTCCTGCATCATCTGGATGAGTTCCACGGAGATGAGCGGATGCTCCGACTCCTGGCTGCGACTCAAATAGGCATCGATCAGCTTCAGTTGCCACACATCGATGTTGTTCAGCATGGACTTGGTCACGTGCTGGGGAAAAATAACATTAAGTTGTTGAACAGTCAACAGCAAAATAGCCGCACTCACGTCGTATAGCGTTAGGTAAACCGGCAGCAAATGCATCCGATCCTTAACCACAGCATTGTAGAAGAGCAGCATCATCTGGTGGCGCTTCACCAGCTCCGGGTAACTTAGATCCGTGCCCTTGGTGGCCAGGCAGCGACTTAGGAACTGCTTGACCATCCGTTCGCTGGCAAATTGCTGCAGGTCGTTCATGTCTATCTGCCAACAGATGCTCTGCTCCATCGTCAAGGTCTGCGCCAGCATGCTCTTCAGCCTGTCGGGATCTTCTAAGTGGGAAAGGCAGCCCGTTCGCTTCTTTATGTCAATCGGCGCACTCATCTCCAGCGCCTTTTCCAACTGATGCCAGTTGCGGGTACGCTCGAAGCACACTGGCCAATAGTTCTCGTCGTCCACCACCACCTGTTGCAAGCTGCTCAGCACTGGCAGGATGCAGGGAGCAATGGGCAGCCGTCGCATCTCGGTGGCACCCACCTCCAGCACCGATATGTTGGCCAGGCACAGCTGGTTAGTGTCAATATCCCGAGGAAGGAACAAGCGCGGTTCCACGGCAAGAACATAAAGATGTCGCAGAGCTTGGAGATGGTAACTAAAAGGGGATACAAGGATGTCAAGTTAAAATGCTACTCCGCTGGGAAGCCCAATCCTCACCGATTGTCGTTGCTGTGTATGGGAAACTTGGGAAAGAAGGCGCAGATCAGTGCCGCAATAGATTCCGGCGTCTTGGCGATGGTAAAACGACCTGCGCCTAGGAACAACAAGCCCAGCGACATGTGAATGGCCATGTGGGAGCCGTAGGTTATGTGAGGATACTGTGGTCCCACCCGCGATCTGAGGTACCGAATGATGCGAAGGATCTCGCAGTTCCCAGAGCCGGCGAAGACCAGCGAGATCGAGATGAGCAGCACCATCAGGCAACTCTCCACTGTGGTGCGGCCGGCACATTCGCCCATCGACGTGCCAGGGAATCCGAGGAACTCCTTGATCACAGCCCGCAATGTAGCGAAGGCAACCATGTCCTCCGTGCCCGCGTACTTTAGACCAATGCAAAAAGCCGCTCCGGCCATGATATTGCAATAGGCTTGCCTGAAATAGGGATATTTAAATCGTATCTCTTGCTATCTAACTTTTGGTACTTACGTGATGGCCTCGTAGTCCACATCACCGTCCTCGGCGGGTGTCTCATCATCACGCGATGGGAGTCTCAGGTGAACCCGGAGAGTTTGCGGAAACTGCGCCTGGAACCACTCGTTGTCCGGGCGGATGTCCTGCCACAGGATGAGGCCCCTGGCAATGGTGCGCAGCAGAAGGAAATCCGGACGCACCATGTCCAGCAGATATCGCGAATCGGGCGGCTGCATCCACTCGGCAATAGCCGCATTCCCGGAGTTGAAGAACATTAGGCCCAGGGCCAGAGTTGCGCCTGGAGCGGTGACATCTATGTTGACGGTATCGCCTTCGCGAACTTGGAAGGAAGCAAGACGGTACTTCTCCTTTTGCGAGCCACTGATGGGTCGCTTCACTCCACCCACCATGTAGTAGTGAAGCGTGTCCGGCAGTTGGAGATCCCTGAGTCCCGCTGGCGATTCCCCTTGGCCCAGGGTGACCAATCCGAGGGACAAGCCAGCTGTCATGGCATATGATTCGCGCTCCACGCTGTTTTCCATCTCGGGGCCTGGAGGTCTGCCAATCTCCTGCAGCAGCACCTCGGCAATGTGCCGCTTGGCTGATCCTTGATACAGCAGACCAATGCTCATCAGAGCGGCCACTTGTGTACTCTGCGGTATATCCAACTCCATGGCGGTGGCTGGGAGCAGTGCCTCCAAGTGAACACTTAACAACTTCGTGGTTTTCGTATCCATTGTGCCACGATGGGCGGCGGAAATGCCAAGCAGCAGACCAACATTGGTCATCTCATCGCACTTCACCAAATACTTATAGAGACCCATGAACGACAGGGTTTTCAGGTGACCATTCAACCCCAAAGCCATAAGGAAACCAGCGTGCTCCAGGGCATTGTTCGCCTGGGTTTTGGGCTTGTTGTAAACAATCCAATTGGAGTCGATGTCTTGGGCCTGGGGCGAGATCTTTAAGCCAGTGGCCACGCCATTGTGAAACGAAGGCCACATTTGCATATTGGCAGGGAACTCGATTTGCTGCATCTCGATGGTGGTGCCCTTCAGCGGTTCCCTGCCTACCAGGCACAATTTGGGCATGGGCAAGCTTTCGCTGGGTCTGGGCATCATCGTTCGCAGGGTGAACATGCCCCTGCCCAGTGGTAAAGTCATCGTCCTGGCGCACAGAGCAAAAAGCTGCTTCTCCTGCTCCTCAATGAACTCATGGTCGCTGGTTCCGGGCGCCTGCTGGACTTCAATGACCACCGGTTCCGAGCTATTGAGCAGGCGACGCACTTCCTCCACCCGCATGTCGTCGGGAAAACGCAGCCGAAGCAGTTTCGTGTCCATATTATCCATGTCGTCGTGGCGCAACTGCTCCGGTGAATCAGATTCGGCCCCTCCGGATGGAGGACACCTGGCTGAGAGGGAATCTTCTTTGTAGACCCTGCCACAATGCGGCTGTCCTGTGCTTGTTTCCAGGAATGGCAGCTGGGCGTGAGCAGCCAGCTCTGGGCGCAGGATCAGTTCATAGGTGGCCATGCTGCATCCCATGGGCGGAGACAGACGAGCTTCCTCTAGAGCCTCTGCAACAATCAGATGCACTGCCGCCGGGAATCGTTCGATGTCCCGCCTAGTCAATCGCATGGCCAGGAGTAACTCCAGCATCTGGTGACAGCGTGGTGCATCCGCCGTGATACTCCGCTTAACGCGGCGCGGATAATTGGCCTGAACGGCTTCGGGAATCTCGAGGAGCTGCCACCAGTGCTTGAGACGTTCCTGCCCGTGAACCACCAGGGATACGAGCTGTAGTAAGTTGCGACTCCGCTCGTTCACACACTCCACAAAGCTGTAGGGCATCACTTCCTCCTCGCCCACAACAATGTGCTCCAGTTGGGCAAAAACACTGGGAGCCGGAACCCGCAGGAGCTCCTGGTGCAGCATCATGGCTCCGTGCTCCGCCCCCAGCAGCGATTGTTTTCCCGTCCGATTTGAGAGTTCCGGAAAGTCGAGGATGTAGTGCAGCACATAGCTGTCCAGCTGCATGTCAATGGCCAGCTGGTGAAGGAACTAAAAGGGGGATGAGTCAACCATATACTTATTTAAACAAGTTCTCCACCACTCACCGTTGCTAGATACGGAAGCGCTGCGTAGAAGACAGCGTCCAGTTTTAGATCTTCGTACAGTAAATGCAGGCTAAAGAAGATTGCGGGTATCATTTGGAAGAGCGGCGCACTGGTGTTCACGCTGTAGCTATGACCGTCGGCTCCACAGGGAGCCAGGGTCGTCTGGAGCAGCAGGAACTCCCAGTCGTCGTCCGTGAAATCCTCGCAATCATTGTACTTTCGACGCTTCTTCGGCTCATCTTGGGCGCCCAGCGTGGAATTGGAACTGCAACTGGATCCGTCGCCGGACCCTGTGGCAGTAACTCCTCCGAAATGCGTGTGCAGCGGTGGTGTGGCACACCTGCCGTAACTCTCGCCCGTATCCACATCCGGAGCAGCAGTCAGACCCATCAGGGCGAGTAGAGTGCAGCGGAAGAGCTGCCATTCCTGCTCTATGGAGTAGTCCCTGGATCCCGGCGGATTCCTAGCGCTGTACCAGCGGATCACAAAGTGCAGGAACTGTGAGGGACTCAAGACCTGTCGCAGTGTGGCCACACATCTGGTGAGCAAGCGTGTGTCGTTCAGGAGGGGCAGCGCTATTCTCAGCATCCTGCCCGTGGCATAAACCAAAGTCAGTCTATTTCCCGCCGGATCTCTCAGCGACTTGCAGACATTATGCGCCTGCCTTTGAGTGTAGGAAACAGCCTGCGGTGCGATGGGCGACAGCATGTGCAGCTCTTCATCGAAGGCGGCCAGATCCCCTGGAGCTTTCGTGGGCAGCAGGCTGCTTCTACGCACCTCCACAAAGGAGCTGCTTCCTGAAGGATTTCC